ATACCTCTCTCAGCAGGCCTAGAGGGTCCTCTATCTAGGGTAGAGACCCCCAAGCCGCTTTCCTACTGTCTTGAGCCTTCCCGCCCCTCTGGCAGGAGTCACAGGACCGGCAGTACCGCTGCACGGCTGTAAAGATTCCCGGCCAATAGAAGTGCTGGAGCAGCCTCAGCCGGGTGCTCCGGATCCCCCGGTGGCCTGCAACAGGGACGTCGTGGGCCAAATACAGCAGCTTGTGGCGATGCTTTTGGGGGACCACCAGCTGCCGCTGGACCCTCCATGCCCTCGCCTTCCTGGGGGGAAGCCATTCACGGAACAGGAGCCCACGCTCCCGCAGGAATCTCTCCTGGCCACCTCTCCCCAGGGGCTGAGCCGCACGGAGGCCAGCCTGGTCCTTCAGCCTCTGCAAGGAGGGATCTGCCTGCACCTCAGCCTGGAATTCAGCTGCTGAGGCAGGGACCGGGACCTGCTCCCCACCTTTGCCTAGTTCCAGAGTCTCAGCCGGGCTGGACCCCGTATCCACCATGAAGGTACCTCGAGGTACCCTGGTTCTTTCCTGGACCCAGGTTGCCAGCCCCTCGCTGGCTCTGGTTCCGGGTGGTGACTAGAGCCCACTGGGATTCATGGGGCCACTCCTCTACGTCATTCCCCATTAGCACCTCCGTGGGTAAGTGCGGGTGCACCCCCACTTCCCTGAGACCTTCCTTGGCCCCCCATTTCAGATGCACCCTGGCTACAGGCACCTTAAACGGGGACCCGTCTATGCCCTTCAGGGTCGGCTGCGTGTGGGGTAGTATCCGCCCTGGGGCCACTATATCGGATCGGGCCAGCGTCACCTCCACCCCCGTGTCCCAGAAGCCCGTCACCTTCCTACTATCCACCTCCAGGGGTATGAGGCACTCACTCCACAGGGGCCACCCTGCACCCACCCGGTACACGGATGTTTCTTTAATTTTCTTCTGTTTCTATATGAAGTACATACAGGGCTTCTGCCAGCTAGTTGCTAAGTTCTCTGCCAAAAAAATAGAGTTTTCAAAAACCAAATTAGCCCCTGAAATCTCAGTGAAATTTCCCGTGCAGCTAGGGGTGGGAGGAAGGGAGGTGGGAATGATCCAGGGAGTGATGGAGGGAGGGGAAGAGAAAACAACAAGGGTCGTGAGAAGAGGTAGAAGAGAGGTGGGACCTTTTCAGAAGAAATGGGGCGAGGGGTGGAGATTTGGGGGGTCCAGGTCCCCACAATTAGAAACGTGCCAGTCCACTGAGTTGTGCCTAGACCGATTCTCCCATGTGTCAGGGAAGTGTTCAGTGTCTCTGGGACTCTACGGTCGGGAAGGGATTCAGGGAAGAGGACCC